CCTTTTTTTATTTCAAGTAAAATAAACTGACACGTGACAGACCAAGGTTGGAAATATACATTTATTTACAAACAGTTTGCATATAAATTTTCAAAATAAAACTTGATGCAAGGTAAACAGATTAAAAACATCATCTTTTATGCTGCACAAAGTTAAGCATGAAGGAAAGTTTGTCTAAGAATCAAAAGCGTGCAGGTTTTAATCTTTTTGTTTTTCACATAAATATACATAAATAGGATCAGAGTTTTTTTTAATTTTATTTTATTCCAACGTGTTGCTTTTCTGAGCAGACGTCACAATTATCAAATTATTACTTGTTCATTATTAGTTTGGTCATTTAACCCTAAAACTATTAGACAATGTGTGAATTGTTTTGGTCTTTACAGGAAAAATATTTGTGATTTATTGTTTAACTTGACCGTACGGTTGTTCCATAGACGGGAAAAATAAATGGTTAAAATTTAATGACACATTCTGGATCAGTTCCAGCTCGTCCCTGAAAACCCCACTGGTTTTATTGTTGCACAGCCTTATTAACTTTTATTAAAATGTATTTAGTTTCAGGTTAATATCTGAAATAGATGCTCCTCTTGTATAAAAAAGGAAAATAAGCAGGAATCTTTATTAAAGTTAGATAAAAGTTCTGTAATATATATTTATTTAATTTATTGTGCAACGGCTTAAAAAGTTTTGTTCTGTTTGAGTCATCAGCTCTCCGCTCGGGTGTCCGGACGAGACGGGCTGAAGATCCGCCAGCTGGTGCCGAGACGTCCCGCTGCAGAGTCAGGTCAGCGATCGTCATCCTCTGCAGGGATCTGCGGGGCGAGACGGGGCCAGGTGGATGGAGCAGAACCCGGAGGCGGGACCAGGTCAGAACCTAGACTGAAGGTAATCAGCTGGTTGGTCGTAAACCTCGTTTCTCTCATTAAATTGTGCTGTTTTTCCCTCTGATCTACAGAAAATTAATTTTATGTTTAAAATGGTGCTCATTGCAAGCTATACAAACATAAAAGAAAAAGCAGTTTGAGTTTACTCATACTGATACACAGTTCTGCGGGTACGCACTCACTGTAAACAAAGCAACAAACACCACTTGATTCTGCTAAATGTATCGATCTGGTAGCAACAAAACAGATCCAAACATTATTTAATGTTTAAAAATGTCACGTTTTAATCAATATGCTAAATCTGAATCGATTTTCATGACAGCATTTGCTTTGTGTCATTATTTAGACACATTAGCATTTAAAGTGCCTGTGACGTGCCTATCCATCAAATACAAAAAGTCAAAGAAAACGCATATTTACATAAAAAACCTTCCATAAAACGTGATTTTACTCATTTTGTCACATAACTGGCAGATATTCTTTTGAATTTGGCTCAGCTTAAGTGCAACAGGAAGTGACATCACAGGGGAACTCTAAGAGAACTCTGTAATCATTTATTGAAATATTATTTGAACTCTGACTCATCTTCATCTCTGACAGTGACTTATAATAATTTAAAGAAACAGATTCTTCTCCAGTCTGTCGTTAGCTATTATTCCATGCAGACGTTCCCCTTTGACATCACTTCCTGTTCCTTCACATGCAAATATCAACTGTTCATCTCAGCAGCGGGAAATTATTTTTGCAATATGCTAATGATGTCATCTTTCCAATGATGCCTTTGTATTTATTTTTAAAAATTCATGTCACAGGCACTTTAAAGTAAATAAATGTATTATAAAATGTTCTGAAATTAAAGCAGAGAAACCCACTCAAGTATTGAAACGATGCTAGAGTTTAATATTTGGACCGATCAACACACTACTACTGATGGTCTCTGGTGTAAACAAACATGGCGGGGTCAGAGAAGTGGATCTGCTGCTTGATGACAGAAGAGTTTCTGACAGAACTCAACATTCAAACACGCCGCTTTAGTGAAACTGTTTTTTCTCCATATTTAAAGCATAAATGCATCAAAGCTGCTCTGGTTTACAAACTTTAAAGATTTACACTCTTATGTTGCAATGAGCACCTTTAGCCTCCTCAGTCTACGGTTCTGACGTGGCATTTCTCTGTGACCTTTGACCCCTTCAGATCCCTGCAGCAGGAAGTCTGACTGCCTGGCTTCAAGCCTTCAGCTCAGTCCCTCCGTCCCCATGATGACAGCTGTCTTTAAGTCCACTTTGGTAAAGTATCCCATCATCCCCCTCACTGACAACACAAAGCTCGTGAAACTGAAACGTCTCCTTTCTTTTATACAAAGGATCTTAAAAATATACTTTTTTTTTTACATTCTTGAATCATAAGAGAGAAAAAAACAGAAGAAACATCACAACAGACTTTCTGCACTTTGGTTTCAAACATCTGGAGCCTCTTTAGCGCCACAGTCCATTCTGCTGCTGCAGCAGCTGTTTGTAATTCATTTACTTCGGACTGGAAAAACATTAATCATCTGAAACCAAACGTTTTCTGTTCACAGCTGAGAAAGTGACAAGAAACAAAAAGCACAAATGAGGAGTAAAGATGTTTCCTGAGTCAGTAGTTGTTTTTTTTGGTGAGAGGCGGCGAGGACGCTCAGGCGCTTCCGTCAACATTCACACACCATCGCTCACTTCCTTTTTCCCCTCAACGACGTGCTTCTTCAAACATCAACATTAATTAGTTGCATAATTTATTTCTGTTGAGCCTAAATGTGTTTTTATTCTTTTTAAATAAACTGAATGTGAACGTGCTTGAACACCCCACCTCCCAGCTGTGTGCACGGAGATCAGGTAAAAGTTTGGCTGCTGAGCATCAGTTTGGAGATTTTTTTTTTTAAACAAATGGCACAGAAAGCACAGGATGGTTCACTCTCTCACACACACACTCACACAGTCGTACGGCTGAGCTGAAGACGATAACGTGCTGTTATTTATTGTGACGGTGTATCAATCGGCGGCGGGGGCTTGAGCAAACAAAACCAGGCGGGTTTATAAGGAGGGTGGTGGACGAGTCCTGTGGCCCTTCAGCAGAGCCATTTATACGTTAAAACTTCTCATCAGGGATTACTGTGTTGAAGGGGTGATCCCAGAACGTGGTGGTGATTCCAAAACCTGCAAAGACAGAAAAAAATATATGATTAAGCATTTAAACAGTTCAGGTAATATTACTATTTCAATAAATAACTATTTACCAAAACAAAACTTTGCATATAACTATGGGGTTTTGTAGATACTTACTGTTAAATAACACTATATTACCCCATATACATGTATTAGCTCGGTCGCTAAAGCTATATTGTCATTTATACATGTATTAGCTCGCAGCTAAAGCTTAATCACCTCATATATACGTATTCACTCAGGAGCCAATGCTGTCTCACCACTTATATATATGTATTAGCCTGGATACTTGCACTATATTGTCACATAAATGTAATAACTTGGGTGCTAATGCCAAGTTGACACATTTACATGCATTAGCTCCGGAGCTAAAGCTATATTGTCACATATAAATGTAATAACTTGGGTGCTAACGCTAAGTTGACACATTTACATGCATTAGCTCAGGAGCTAACGCTACATTGCCACATATATATGCATTTGCTCGGGCTCCAGCGTGAAAGCGATCAGGCTAAATCTGAGGTTCTTCTTCCATTAAGCAGCTCTGTTTTCCTCTTTCAGCTGCAGGCTGAATCATTTCTACATTCTCCTCTCTGGCAAAACAGTCTGGTTTGATTTAAAATTTCTAAGAGTGGATAACAGCTCGCAACCTCCCCCCGGAGCACCTAGTGAACGTTCACATTTACCCAGTATGCTTTGTGAAGAAGTATTTTATTCTTTTTTGTAGTTGGAAGTAAATGTTTAGCAAATAACGTCTAATAGTACAACTATTCTTTTTCCATTAAAGTGCTCATTTAAGAAATGACTGTTCTTTAATATTATTTTATTTTTCCTGAGAAATTAATATTTGAGTTTCAGTTTCTCCATCAGGCTGTTATGTGTCTCTGAGAGCTTTCAAAATAAAACCCGTTTCAGCCGGGCTGACCTGATCTCTGGTGCTCGAAGTGGTGTTTGACGTGGTAGGCCTTCAGGCCGTACAGGTACGTCCCCCTCTTGGGCGAGCCGTAGTGAAGGTAGTAGTGGATCATGTCGTACACGACGTATCCACACAGCCCGCCCACGAACATGGAGACCCCCAGGATCTCTGGGAGCATGCTGTGCAGGATGAGATAAAACAGCCCCACCACGATGGAGGCCAGGCCGGGGGGGAAGACGAGTCTGGAGCCGTCGAATGGAGACTGTGGAGAACAGACACGACGGGTTAAACACTGCCTCTGTTGAACGGTTAAAATCCCAGATGCTAACAGAAAAGCTAATATTAGCCCAGAGATCCTGCTCGTCCGTACCTTGTGGTGCTGGCCGTGCAGCAGGAAGTGCAGCGTGATGAGGTAGTAGTTGTGAGCCGGCGGCTTCATGTGGAAGACGAAGCGGTGGATGCAGTACTCCATGAAGGACCACAAGAACCAGCCCATCAAAAACAACACGGGGAACATGGATTTATGGACAGGGACGGAGAAGCCTGAACACACCACACAGTCTGAATACTCTGGTTTTTAGTTTTACTTCTTAAATGAGCGTCTACAGGGATGTTACCTGAAGTGACGGCTATCCTTGTGGTGCCCTGGGCCAGTGTGCTGTAGCAGTACCAGCTGAGATAAACCACCACGGGTACCCAAACCACCAGAACCCAGTACCTGCAGCAACAAAACACATCAGATTCTTCATCTGCATCTCTTCAATGAGTGACAGGCCTTTAAGCTGTTCATTAGGTTTTAAATGGTGATTATAAATTAAAACGCTGTTTTAATGTAGATAGATCCAGTGTTTGTATAAAGTACCACAAAGTGATACTTGAGTAAAAGTACGAGTATCTTACCAAAAAATTACTTTGGTAAAAGTTAAAGTCTCCTTTAGGAATATTACTTAAGTACAAAAATATCAGATATTTTGACTTTTACTCAAGTATTAAAAGTAAAAGTATTGATTTAAAATGAGCAGTTAGATTTTCTGTAAGGACATTTATTAGGAGGTGACCTCCACAAAAACTGACTTTTGTATTAAAATAATTAATTAACGTTAAAGTCCAGTTATTTCAGTTTATATACATATATCAAGGCTGCACAAAACTTTTCTCCAAAATGAAAATCTGAGGGCTGCGGCCAAATGTAATAATATAATTCATGAAATACAAATACTTCTTCAGTACAGTCCTTGTGTTTTAATGATTCTGTCCTGCTGGAGTGTGACATGATTTGTTTGTGTACAAACTAATACACTATCAGAGTTTTATATATTTATACTTCTCATTCAACCACAGTTAAATTCACTCTAAGAGGCACAGTTTATATGGATAGTTTTTATTTTTTACAACAAGCTGCAATGAAAACAAGCAAATTGAAATAAAAGTAACAACTTTCTACTTATTGCCTTTTTATGTAAGGAGTAAAAGTAAAGGGTAGGCTGAAAAATAATTACTCAAGTAGAATTTTTGGGTATCTGTACTTAAGTACAGTAAAGAAGTATTTGTACTTAGTTACTTTACAACTCTGGATAGCTTACAATAAATTAGGGCTGTCAAATGATTACAATTTTTAATCTATTACTTCCAAGGTAGCTGTGAATTAATCACAATTAATCTTAAACTTAATATAAAACTTTAAATTTTTAAAAATTTAAATATTATTGATTTATTAAATAAAATAAGCCATAAGAAGACAAAAAGAAAAAAAAGCTACATTATGTGTTTCACATGGAGTTTTTTTTATATTATTTATTTAACTGTTATTTATCCAGGTAAACTGTTTGAGAACCACGTCTCATTTGCAAACATGACCTGACATGATGCAATGAGTGCATTGTAATATACAAACCTACATATTCAGTCAGAGTAAAGTGATTGTAAATTTTAATCATGATTAAAATGTTTAATCTATGCACTAAAATTAATCAGAGTTAACTCGGTTAATTTCACAGCCCTACAGTAAATATAAAAGTTAACTACCTGAGTTACAGAAATGACAGATTTGACAAAAAAAAAAAAAAAACTAAGATTCTAAGTGCTCCCTCAGTTTTTTTAATAATAAATGCATCAATAGCCTTTTGTTTATTTCAGTGTACCGTCACTTTAGGCAGTTTGTCAAAACAAATTTACATATTTTATTAGAAGTATTTCTAACCAGGAAGTTTTGGTCGCCGCCTCCAGGAAGGGGTTACCGAACAACCTGATGGGTCTGTCGACTGGCTGATGAACCCACGCGTCGTATTTCTCTCCCAGGTGACCCACCTGCCACGCCAGGGGCTTCCGCCAGTCCACCAAATCCTGGAGACAAACAGGAAACACAACAAACAGGCGTCAGTTCAGCTGGAGACGTCCAGCAGATGGAGGCAGAGTCAAACCAGGAAGTGAGAACAGTTCATTCCCCTCAAACACACTCCTTGTTTGTAATTTTCAAACAATGAAGCCGTTTTCTCATTGGTCAAAACAAAGCTGGAGCTTCTCACTGCTCTGTGCTCACATTTTCTTTTTTAGTTTAATGAAAATTAAAATAAAAAACAAACATTTCTTTTCCCGACTAAGTCACGTGACTTTATTTTGACTCAGACAAATCCAGAGATTACGTCGACAGCTCTGAGCGCGGCCGGCGTGATTTACATATCCACCTGCACATCAAGCAGCATGTAAATCCCTCCACTCACTCAGGTGAGGCGGGCCGCCTCGTCAGCTTCTGAACCAGCTGCGCCGTCGCTCCGACCAGACAGTTACAATAAGGAAACACTAAAAACAGACTTTCATTAAATCATAACCTCATTTAGTACACTGTAATTACAAATGTTTTTTTACTGCAGCTAAAACGTCACTTTTCTTTTACCCACAATGCAACTGTGGCCAGAGACAAAATTTTATTAAGCAGTTTTATTTAAATTTCTCCCATTTTCCTTTATTTTATATTATTGAATGAAAACATTACATTTGTTTTCCTTTTTGTATAGTTTTAGGGGGGAAAGGTAGGATTTTAAGACTTAATTTCATGTTTTCAGCCACATTTTCCACACAAAAGATGTATTAAAGATCTGTTTTAGTTTAGCTCTTTGACGATCCAACCAGATAATTCTAGGAAGTCTGCATTAAATGTTCTTCATCTAAAAATAATCAAATAAAATCCTGAATAAAACAAACCGTTGCCTCTGGTTGAGTTTCTGCCACTTTGTTCATGATAAAAAATCAGAAGAAGTGTTTTGTGTCGAGCTGCTTATCTCCTCATCAGTTACTAATGTTTATTATTAGAAATAAAGACAAAAATATATATATAAATAAAACAGAAAACAAGAAGTGAAAATATCTGAGTCATGTGCCTAAAAGAAGCTCATGACCACAGCAGCTTCCCTGCAGAGGATTCAGGTTTTTTCTCCAGTTTGAACAAAAACTAAAATAAGTATTTTCAGCAGGAAACCTTTAACTTGTTTTGGGATAAAGTCACACAGACCACTCGACCTGCATCACTTTTGCTTTTTAATGCACCAAATAACTGATTAAATGGCTAAAAATACTGCTTATATACAGTATGAAGTAAGGTCATTGTGATGAGAAGTCTTGAATCTTGTAAATATCATCGATCTCATGCAATAAAGAAAAATATATGAGTTTTAAAGTGTCTGTGACGTCAAATTTTTGTAATAAATATTAATGCATTTTTGCAAAAATAACATTAATAAAATATTGCAAAAGACATTTCAGGCTACTTAGTCGAAGAGTTGTTGAGATATTTGCATGTGAAGTAACAGGAAGTGATGTCAAAGGGGAACGTCATGCAATCAGTGCGTTGCTACAAGAGATAAAAACAGACCGTAGAAAAGAATCTTTAGATTATTTTGAGGCTATCAGAGACATGAAGAAGAGTTCAAATAATATTTCAGTAAACAAAGACCAGAGAAGTCCCCTTTGATGTCACTTCCTGTTTCACTTTGGCAGAGCTAAGCTTAAAAGAAAATATGCCAGTTATGAAACAAAATGAGTAAAATTGTGTTTTATGTCATTTCTTAAAGTGTTTTAAACAAACAAAAGGTTGCTGTTTCACGTAGAGTTAAGATCAAGCCTATTGTTAGGTGATGGTCCTCTTTTGCATGTGACTAACCTGTTTGTCCAGGTGGAGGCAGTGCTCATAAGGCTGAGTTCACCTGAAACTCCTCAGACTGAAGAAGTCTCTTGGAGGAGAGACGAAACGTTTCACTGAAGAAGAACCATCCAGAGGACCTACTGGTTTTTTCTTTTTGATTTTTTCTACCTGGATTACTGAGCTGCATCAGGACATTTTGGGGTACGTTACACTATAAATAAATACGTTTGTATTTGAAGGATATGCACATCACAGACAGAGATTACTCTCAGCTACTAACACACCAGATTTCCCCTCAGTACCTGCAAAACTGATCAAACTAAAGCTATTTTTCTGTTTGCTAAGACCAGTTAGCTGTGGTGGCCATCTTGAACCAGGTTGACTCCAAATAGGGTTGGGCAATATTGGCAAAAAAATTAATCGTGATTAATTGTGGTATTTAGCCGATAACGATTAATTTGACGATTAATCCCCTGGAGTCCCTGGACACCCTTATGTCCTGGTCACATGACCAATTTAGTGGGAAAGATTTGTTCTTTGTAAAAATCTGTTCCAAATTTTGTCAAAATTACAGGCTTCAGGCTGTAAAGCAAATTTTAAATTGTGCTGATAGATAAATAAATTACTTATTTTTTAATGTTCGTCATATTCGAAGCAGAGAGGAGCACCGAGCGGACTGACTGGAGGCATTAATCGAATTAATCGTCCAATGCCAAAAAATAATTGATTGTTTTTCTGACGATTACGGTTATGCACAACCCTACTCCAAACTCGGTGCAACAATAAAAAGTTTAACAAACATCCATCCACATAAATAAATCGATTAAAAACATTTAAAAATACAGTTACATCAAGGTAAAATAAATAAATAAAATATGCCCGATGTGGATCGATGTATCGATCGTAGGCTTATGAACTGGATCAAAATCGCATCATCTGATGATTTACACCTGTACTCCCAACACAAATAAGTTGTGATTGAATGATTTTTGACATGTCGCTGACAGACTTGGCAGAAACATCATCGCCCACCTTCCTGCAGCGCTTTCAGTTTCTAAAATTAAACAGGTGAAAGATGAAAAACAGTCATGAGTGAAGACGTGCCTCACATTCCTGAGTTCACTGTAAACAAATTCAAGTTGTTTCGTCCCCCCGCCCTCCTCCTC